AGGCAATCCACTCACCTCAGCCTCCCAAAGGTGCAGGGTTACAGGCTGAGCCACCGAGCCCGGCTTATTTTTTTATTTTTATTTTTTATTTTATTTTTGAGTTGGAGTCTTTGCTCTGTTGCTTAGGCTGGAGTGCAGTGGCATGCTCACAGCCCTGTAGCCTCAGCCTCAGCCTGCTGCTCAGGCGATCCTTCCACCTCAGCCTTCTAAGTAGGTAGAACTATAGGCACATGCCACCAGACCCGGCTAATTTTTTGGTTTATTGTAGAGATGGGGTCTCACCAGGTTGCCTAGGTAGGTCTCGAACCCATGGGCTCAGGCAGTCCTCTCACCCTGGCCTCCCAAAGTGCTGGGATTATAGGTGTGAGCCCCTGGGCCTGGCCCACCTTCAATTTAATTTAATAAAATGTTCATGAGAGACTATTTGACAGATACAGAGGAAGATTTGATGTTAGTTCACAGCTACTTTTTGACATTTTTGTACCTGAATCATTTCTTTCTTTCCTTTTTTTTTGACTTGGAGTCTCACTCTGTCACCCAGGCTTTAGTGCAGTGGCACAGTCACAGCTACTGCAGCCTCTACCTGCTGGGTTTAGGCAGTCATTCTGCCTTAACCTTCCAAGTAGCTGGAAGTACAGGTGTGTGCCACCATGCCTGGCTAATTTTTTGATTTATTATAGAGACGAGTTCTCGCCAAGTTGCCCAGGCTGGTTTCGAACCCCTGGGCTCAGGCAATCCTCTTGCCTTGGCCTCCCAAAGTACTGGGATTACAGGTGTGAGCCACTGTGCCTGGCTCCGAGTCATTTTTTTCTTCTTTTTATATACGTGTAATTTTTTGAGGTGGGGCTCTTAATATGTACCCCAAAGTATTGGGATTACTGGCGTGAGCCACTGTGCCTGGCTCAGAGTCATTTCTTTATAAGCATAAGACTTTTCAATGTATGTATTATGCTTAATGTCATATTATGTATAAAGTTTTGCCACTTAGAATATTCCTAAACATTTTACTGTATTACCTTTGTGATTTCTTTTTAGTAGCTATCTTACTGATTTGATATTCTGTAGTTTATTTGCCATGTTTCTAATAGTCAGACAGTTTTTTTCTAGTTAATACTATTATATACATCTCTTTGAAGTAAAATTTTCAAATCAAAGCATATGAATATTTAAAAATCTCTTGCTGTGTATTGCCAAAGAATCTTCCAAAAGATATAGCCAATTATGATACCTGTAGTTTGAAACTGCTGGCTTCCTTATACCCTTGCCAGTACAGTACTGGCATTAAGTACTATCAAATATAATTATGCAGGAGCTGAACTTTTAAAAATCTAGTCATAAAGTGAATGAATAAAATAGCAAGAGTTATAAGAGCTAACAAAATATATCTTGTCTTACTCTTCATGGATTTTTGGGGCAAGTGGTATTTTCTGGTCTTTTTGTTCTTTTACATTGCATTTCTTTAGTGTTCTAGAAGTATATTCATAGAAGAACACTTGAGTTCCTTAGTAACCAGAAAGATGTTTTAATACTAATCTCAGTAGTAAAATTGACAAGGAAGTTGAGGAATTGCCATAGGTATCAACTTTAATTCTCTTGGACCTTACTGGGAGGTAGTACTTAACTGCCGTGAAGTCAGAACTTCTGCAGAGTTGACCTCAAGACCTAGTATTGTTACTTAGGTTTATGACTTTGAACAAGGTAATGGAAACTGCTAGGCTTTGGGATTTTTATTTGTAACATGGAGATAAGTAGTTCTTACTTTTGTTTTGAGTATGAAATGAGATAATGTACTTATTTAGAGCTCATAAAAGAGTGCCTGATATATACATACATGTCAGCTCCATATATGTTAGCTAATAGCATTGCTTTTCTTTTCTTTTTTTTTTTTTTGAGTTGGGGTCTCACTCTGTCGCCCAGACTGGAGTGCAGTGGCTGCTCCTGGCTACCTCAGCCTCGACCTGCTGGGCTCCAGCGATCCTTCCGCCTCAGCCTTCCAAGTAGCTGGAACTACAGACGCGCGCTACCATGCCCGGCTAGTTTTTGATTTATTGTAGAGATGAGGTCTCGCCAAGTTGCTCGGGCGGGTCTCGAACCTGCGGGCTCAGGCAATCCACTCACCTCAGCCTCCCAAAGGCGTGGGATTTCAGGTGAGCCACTGAGCCCAGCTGCTTTTCTTTTCTTTTCTTTTCTTTTTTTTTGAGCTGGAGTCTCACTTCATCACCCAGGCTGGAGTGCAGTGTCATGCTCATGGCCACCCCAGTGTCGACCTACTAGGCTCCAGCGATCCTTCCTCCTCAGCCTTCCAAGTAGCTGGAACTATAGACGCACTCTACTATGCCCGGCTAATTTTTAATTTTATTGTAGAGATGAGGTCTCACCAGGTTATCTGGCTAGTCTCTAACTTGTGGGCTCAGGCAATCCACTTGTCTCAGCCTCCCAAAGTGCTAGGATTACAGGCTGAGCCACTGAACCCAGCCAAAGCATTGCTTTTCTGTGAACTTTTCCAGATATATCTTCTCCAGGATAGAAAAATTCAGTAATGCTGTGTATCCTCAACTTTGAGTTTCTTTTCTTTTTTTTTTTGAGTTGGAGTCTCTGTCACCCAGACTGGAGTATGGAGTTCAGTGGCCGTTCCCGGCCACCACAGCCTCGACCTGCTGGGCTCCGGCGATTCTTCCGCCTCAGCCTTTCAAGTAGCTGAAACTACAGGCGCACTCTACCACGCCCAGCTAATTTTTTTTTTTTTCATTTATTGTAGAGATGAGGTCTTGCCAAGTTTCCCAGGTGGGTCTCGAACCCACGGGCTCAGGCAATCCACTCACCTCGGCCTCCCAAAGCGCAGGGATTACAGGCTGAGCCATTGAGTCTGGCCTGAGTTTATTTTCTAGCTCATTGGATAGAACTTGTGCCTTCATTAGATTTTACATGTATTTTCCAGTCAAGGTTTTTCTTTATTTACAATTTAAGATTTTATTTTAAAACTAAAAATTATTTAAAAAGCAATTTAAAAAATTAGCACATTATAGAAATTTGGAAAATAAAAACTAAGGAGAAAGTACAAATAATCTATAATTCTGCTTTCTATTTGTGTTGAGATTCTCATATATTTCTTTTTTTAATACTATTTTATTTTATTTTATTTTATTTTATTTTATTTTATTTTTGAGTTGGAGTCTCACTCCGTCACTCAGGCTAGAGTGCAGTAGCATGCTCATGGCCACCCCAGTGTCAACCTGCTGGGCTCTGGTGATCCTTCCACCTCAGCTTTTCAAGTAAATGGAACTATAGGCGCACTACCATACCCCGCTAATTTTTGATTTATTGTAGAGACACGAATTTGCCAAGTTGCCCGGGCTGATCTCGAACCCGTGAGCTCAGGCAATCCACTCGCCTCAGCCTCCTGTTATTTTTTATATTTAGAGATGGGTTCTCACTATGTTGCTCAGGCTGGTCTTTACCCCCTGGGCTTAAGTCATCCTCCGTCTCATCCTCCCAAAGTGCTAGGATTACAGGCATGAGCCACTGTGTCCAGCCTCATGTATTTTATTTCAGGTTCTTTTTTCTTTTTTCTTTTTCTCACATTGTTACTAAGATATAAATGAAGTATAGAAGTTTTCTTTTTTTTTTTTTTTTTTTTTTTAAGTTGGAGTGTCTCTCTGTTGCCCAGGCTGGAGTGCAGCAGTAGCATGCTCACAGCCACCACAGCCTCGACCTCTTTTGGGCTCAGGTGATCCTTCTGCCTCGGTCTTCCAAATAGCTAGAACCACAGGCATGTGCTACCACGCCCTGCTAATTTTTTGTAGAGATGAGATCTTGCCATGTAGCTTAGGCTGGTCTCGAACCCTGAGCTCAGGTAGTACTCTTGCCTCCACCTTCCAAAGTGCTGGACTTGTAGGCTTGAGCCACGGTTCCCAGCTAAAAGTTTTCATTTTTTTTCTTTTTTTTGAGTTGGAGTCTCACTGTGTTGCCCAGGCTGGAGCGCGGTGACATACTTATGGTCACCTCAGTGTCTACTTGCTGGGTTCTGGTGATCCTTTCACCTCAGCCTTCCAAGTAGCTGGAACTACAGGCACGTGCCACCACGCCTGGCTAATTTTTTGGTTATTGTAGAGATGAGGTCTTGCCAATTTGCCCAGGCTTGTCTCGAACCCGTGGGCTCAGGCAATCCTCTCACCTTGGCCTCCCAAAGTGCTGGGATTA